CTCCTCCTCTTCCTCCTCCTCCTCCACCTGCTCCTCCTCCTCCTCCTCCTTTTCCGTTTCCGCCGCATGAGCCAGCTCCTTAGTTCCTAAGGAGGCTCCGCCTTCCGCTCTACTGCCGCGCCGGGCACGCCTGGCAGATGTCGCTGACAATCTCCAGCCCTGCCTGGCTCTCGCTGGCCCGATCTGGCCAACCACTGCATCCCTTAGGGAGCCGGTCGGCCTGAATTCGCTGTAGCACTTCCCTGCCGTCCTTGTTGGGACGTTTCAAGCAAAGAGTGCCAAGCTTGAGGGCCTTGGTCGCTGCCCACGCTCCGCAATCCCCACAAAACCACAAGCCTCGGTGCAGCTGGAGGCTGTGAGTTGGGTCAAAAACCGTGGGGCGGCCAGGGCACGGGCCGTTCAACCAGGCGATTTCCTCGCCTGGGCCAGGGGCCTGCCAGCAATTCCCACACCTCTTCGAACCAGCATTCAGGAGGTGTTGGGTTTGCTGTCTGGCCAGATTCTTCGTCTGAGCCGCAGCATGGGAGATCTTCCTACGCTCCGCTAGTCGAACAGCTCGCGACACACTACCGTATAGCTCGGTGTACTGCTCTACGATGTGCATGCCTATCTGTAGCAACAGCTTTTGCACCTTCCACGCCTCCTGGTCTGCATACCGGACGGTCTGCTGGACAGCAAAGGGAAGTTGTGCTCGCTGTGCCCCTTCATCTGCCGCCTCATCCGCCTTTTCATTCAACCAGTGCGCTAGGAGACATTCAGCTGTAGGTGCCACTTCGTGCAGTGCTTGATGAGACTTGACCTTCTTCACTGCAAAAGTCCCCGTACGAACCGCAAGTCTATGCCACAATCTACGCCAGAGATCTGCATGCGACGGGTTGCTGGCAGCAGGGCCCTTCAGGAACCTTTTGACCACGTAGCTCGAATCCACCTCCTCCTCCTCCTCCTCCTCCTCCTCCTCCTCCTCCTCCTTCCTCCTCCTCCTCCTCCCCCTCCTCCTCCTCCTCCTCCTCCTCCTCCTCCTCTCCTCCTCCTCCCTCCTCCTCCTCCTCCTCCCTCCTCCTCCTCCTCCTCCTCCTCCTCCGCCTCCCTCATCCTCCTCCTCCTCCTCCTCCCTCCTCCTCCTCCCCTCCTCCTCCTCCTCCTCCTCCGCCTCCTCCTCCTCCTCCTCCTCCTCCTCCTCCTCCTCCTCCTCCTCCTCCTCCCTACTCTTTGGACGCCCGAAATGGGTACCGAAAACATGGGCACTATGCCCAACAGCAAATGATGTCCCAAGCCAACAGCGGCCGCTGTTGGGCGGGCGGCCTCCTGTCTCGAATGGACACAGGCGGCGGCGGCGTGGACAGCGGATCTTGTTCAAAATGAACCAGATCCGCTGTTGGGCATAGTACCCATTCTTTCAGTACCCATTTCGGGCGTCCAGATACCCCTCCTCCCTCCCGCCTCCTCCTCCTCCCTCCTCCTCCTCCTCCTCCTCCTCCTCCTCCTCCTCTCCCTCTCCTCCTCCTCCTCCTCCTCCTCCTCCTCCTCCTCCTCCTCCTCCTCCTCCTCCTCCTCCTCCTCCCCTCACTCGAGGCAATATGATATGATGCGGTTCTTAACCCGCTGGGGAAAAAAGCATCGGCAGTATGGTTGTGCAGGAGCCCCGCCCCAATAACATAACCTTGGCAGGTCAGCATTCATCAAAAAGAACTCCAAAGACCCCCATGGAACCCTCGTCAAGCCAATCTGGTCAACCTTGCTTTTGACGGCTCATATAACAAATGCTCCCGGCCTCCCCGCACCCCGAAAAGGCATCCAAGGCAGCTGTCGCACTGTATGCTTCCACGCTGCTCCCATCAAATCAACCCACCTGGCGATCTTGTCTGGATGGGCTGGTGGGGATAGGCAAAAGCGTCAATGATTCTCTGCCCATCGACGCCCCCGAGGAGTCCGCAGAGGGAGGTCGGACGAATGACCACCCCAGCCAGGCCTGCGCCGCGGCGTGGACCAGCCCGCACTCCGCCGCCAGCCTCGCCAAGGCCACGGGGGGAGCGGAGCGGACTGGAGCGAGTCGCCGAACGCGTCCCAGAGAACGGCCCCTCGTGCTGGACCAAGAGCTGTAAAAATCCATGGGGCCAGGAATCGAAAAATGCCTGAGCGGCCCAAGATGGCCGGAGCCGCGTCTCTCGACATCCCGCGAATCAGAACACCATGGCAGGAAACCAACACTAAAAACGCTAGCTGGGGGTCACAAAACCTAACAGGAAGATTGATCAATCTTCCTCCGCCGGGAGCGCTGCTGCTGCTGTCCCTGAGAGAGGGGAGGGCCCTCCTTTTCTGGTCCTGGGGCTAGCATTCTGAAAGCTCGCGGGTAGAGCCGCAGCCCTCAGATGGCGATGGGGATGCTGGGTAACGAAGCTGGTCAGACAATATGCGTGTGAGCGTCTTGGAGTTTCGGCCCCTTCCGCAGAAGCCAGAGGCGCAGTGGATATGGACAAACATCTGGTCCTTAGAAGCTGGATTGGTACCCATACCATATTCCCCTCGCCCCGGCCGCTTGCGCCCCTCCCCGGCAAGCCCGAGACGCAGAGGGATGTGGACACGAATCTTGTCACGCACGAGCGGGAGAGGGAGAACGGAGGGGACCGCCTTCGGTGCCGCCCTCGGCCGGGCGAGTGCGCAGGAGGGGAGGCTGGAAGAACAAGACACGGCAGGCACACAGACTGTTGGAGCTCCGCGCGGATTTCTCGTGTCGGCGCTCGGCCCCTCTGGCGGCGCCTCCGGCGCCGCCCCTGGAGCGCTCCATGCGCAAGGGAGGGGCGTCCAGCGCCGATCCCAGAAGTCCGCGCGGAGCTCCAACAGTTTGTGCTTGTGTCTGTTCTTTTCTTCGAGGAGGGGACGAGGAGGAGGAAGAAGAGGAGGCGTGCTATATTCACATCGACCGCCGATGGCCTCACCTAAAGGGTGCAAAAAGAGTCAAGCTCGACTGTGACCCCACTCCTCTTGGGGTGGGGTCCCTTGCCAAGCAACCTCCAACTCTCGCACCTGTGTAAAGGCCTGAGGAAGGGAAGCACAGGAGGGAGGATGGGGGGAGGAGGGTGAAGGCAGGAGGATTTTGTTTTGCAGTGCGCGTCTACAAGCCAAACATCCTAAGGGTTTGACACATAGGCATTAAACATCAAGGAGACTATAGTTCAATCTCGCCGTCTGGGTGAGGACCCCAATCCTTGCACAGCTTCTTCGGGGGAGGCCTCGTTTGATCCTCTGCAGCCCCTCACGCTGGTAATGTGTGAGATTAGCTACGCCTTGGCAACGGCGTCGCAAGGCTCCAAAAGAAGCCTTGGAATCCTCTGCGAACAGCAGCCGCATTGGCCACAGAGGAGGAGGAGGAGGACGAAGAGGAGGAATAGGGGGAGGAGGAAGGGGGAGGTCTAGGTGAGTCTGCGGATCTCCAAGGGGGTCTCAGGAGGCGTCCTGGAGCCCGAACGCCGGAGGCGGAGGAGGGAGGAGAGGAGGAGGGGGCTGATCGACGATTCTCGGAGGTGCCAGCCAAGACAGTGTGGGCCCGACCACAATAGACCTGCCACAAGAAACCCAACCCTGAGACCCCAGGACGTCCATCGATTTTTGATGTGGGAACGTCCCGATTTCCATGTCAAAACTATCGATCGAAACCCAAGAAACCCAAGAAACTATCGAAACCCAAGCAAGCAAGCTGTTTCCTGGCATGGGCCCCCTCTGCACCCCATCCTGATTCCCGTACCAGTAAGGGCTACGTGAACCGAAAGTGATCGGCGTGGGCAACGTGACGAGAAAGACGACTGCCTCCTTGCAGTTGGCCGGGGTCTGGGCCCACTTACGCCTGGAGCGCGGCCGAACTGGCATGACAAAGCTGTCCTCCAAACGGGGTCGGCTCACAAAAAAAATGTGGCGGATGTCGAACGGATTGGCGTGTACGTGTTGGGTGACACGCGAGCAATGCAAAGCGAATGTCTTGAACGGGCTGTTGACGGAGTCGGGGCCTCACCAACTAAATACGTCGCCAGGTGGTCTCTGGAAGTGCGCCTTGGAATAAGTTGCAAGGCAGCATCAGAGGGGAGTCCTTGTTGCAGCCTGGCCGTCCCCAGCCCGAGTGAGCTGCCAGGAAGCCTCGGGCGACAGCGACGCTCCAGAGTGCGAGGACGTCTCGGGTCGTAGCACCGACGCAAAAGTGCGCGGCCTGGCGTCCAGGGCTGGCTGTGGCAGGGGCCTCTGGCGGGCGGCCTCGATGGCGACGACGACGAACTTTCGAATCGTCCACTTCCCTGCGGGCGATATGGGTATCCACATCCAATGCGTCTTGGAGTGTCGGGTTCGATCTGATCGTGATGATGGTGAAGGCGATGGTGAAGATGAGGATGAGGACGGGGATGAGGATGCGGATTGGGGTCAGGCTTATGATGAAGATGAGGCTGATAATGATGTCGATGGTGATGATGATGGTGATGCTGATGCTGATGCTGATGATGGTGATGATGATGATGATGATGATGCTGATGCTGATGATGATGATGATGATGATGCTGCAGATGATGATGCTGATGGTGATGCTGTGGATGATGGTGATGCGGGTGCTGCTGATGATCATGACGATGCTAATGATGATGATGATGATGATGATGATGATGATGATGATGATGATGATGATGATGATGATGCTGATGATGATGCGGGTGATGGTGATGATGTTGGTGACAATATCTATTATGATGATGCGGATGATGAGTGATTTTGATGGTGATGGCGGGTTTGATGACGGTGATGATGGCGACGATGGTGATGAATATGATGCTGATGCCCGTGGCATAGACTTCAACTCCAGCAAGGCGCCTTCGCGGTCCTTGCCACCCTGCACATTCCGCTCGCGCAGGCGAGACCCCTGGAAGAGGAGGGGGAAGAAAGGCAACATACCAACCGACTTACCTACATCACATGAGTGTGTGCCGTACATTACTACAACTAATGCGTGTGTTGTGGTGTGTAGGGACAAACAGATTAATGAACGCCAGCACCTGCAGCCTGCTTTCACATCGCCACATGCCTCTCGTCCTCGAGATTGAGCGCCCACCCGGCAACGTTGACATCCTAGTATGTGCATATGTTTTCCAATATCCAGCGAACGTCACCTTACACCAAGTGGTTCTGGGGCGTCCCACGCGAAGCGTCCCCACGTCGTGCTGCTTTAGCGTCGTTCGGTAAAATAGCATAGTTCTCACTGGGTCGTCATCCATGCTGGCAAGTCTGGCTGCCAAAGATTTGAGCCGCATGCGTGTGTAGTAATCATTCACTGAGCGTTTCAATGCGGTCTTCACGCCGCTGTGCCTGCAGCTGCTCGTTAGCGCGGGTGTATACACGTGCGTTGCTGCGCTGCTTGTTGACATATATTTGTCGGAGTCCCTTCAATGTGTCCAAACATTGACGTGAACTCTCCGTGAGCTGCGCCGATTCCAAAACATTCGTGAATTTTGAGCGGAGAATCGCGCTGAAGACTTCCAAATTTGGGCGGAACAATCGGAGATCGTAAAGAACAAACCAGATTTTTTCCAGACGCCCATGCGTACCGAAAGGCGATGTCGTAGTTCCATCTGCACGTTTCCTCTGTCGTTGACCATGTATCCAAAATACTTTACACACTGCGCGTGTAGAACGACTGCTTCATGGCGAACTTTGATGGCGACTTGTTGCCCAAGCTGGATGAAGATTTCGCATGTTGTTTCGTTAAGTTTCAAGCCGTATGTGTCCCTCTCTGCCTCGACGGCGTGCAGCAGTTTGTCCAATGTTATTTTCCTGGTGGACGCAAAACTTGTATCGTCCACGTACAGTATCGTCCTCCGTTTGCCCTGGTACCTTCCCTGCCCGCAGGTCCTGGCCCATGGTGTGGTGGGTATGAACGTCATGGAGAAGGCATGCCATGATGACAAGGAAGAGGTACGGTGACAGGGAGCAGTCCTGGCGTATGCCTGAAGCTTGTTCGTGCACGTGCGAGGGGACCCTGTATTTCAACAAAGAAGGTTGGTTTCGAGTACGTAGAGCGGAGTTAATGGAGGATCCGTGGGTGAACATGCATGCGCTCGAGCGACAAGAACAGCGCCCCGTGTTTGTCTTCGTCGAACGCCTTCTCCCGATCGAGTAGCAGTTATAAAAGGTTGTTCCCGGTGCGTTCTCCGTATTCCATAGCTCTTCGCTCATGGTGGTTGGCCTGCGCCGTGCCCTTTCGTTACTGAAAGCAGTGTTGAATTCTTTGCAGGTGCGGATCTAGAGTGTAAGGGAAACGTTTTTGGATAAAGGCTGCAAAGATGTTGTAGATGCTGCTCAAAAATGGAGATTTGGTGGTAGTTGTTCAAGTTGCCGGAGTCGCTTCTTTGTATAGGAAAACTACCAGCGCGTTTAACGATGTTTCTGGACTTCGTCGTTGGGCCCACCAATCGTTGAACGTGTCCAGTACTAGTGCGAGTGTGTCGTCGTCCATTTCTTTGAAGAGCTCCATCGGCACATCGTCTGGGCCTGGTGTTTTTCGTCGTTTGGATTTCTTTAAAACTGCTTGCAACGTCGTCAGTGCCAACGGTGACAATTCCCACTCCAGAGGGTGAGCCACTAACGGGTCCCCCCACGACATCTGCCCGGCAGCATGCTGTCCCGGGCTGGTCGGTCTCGCTGATGCGCCCCACTGCTTGGTGGCAAGATGCCTCGCTGCTTCTTCCGCTCTTTCGTGCAAAGGGACGAACGTGCCGTCTGTTTTTGTACCCGTACGGTTGTGGCGTGTACTCGGCGCGCAACCGTTCGAGGCTTATCCAGCGGTCTCGGACGTCCGAATTTTTCTGCACGGAGTCCGCCGACCCCTTGTGGGTCTCTAGGCGTGTGAGATTATCCCAATCCCCCCCGTGGACCACTAACGGGCAATTTGACTGCCCCCCTGACCCGGCCCGACCCCGGACCGAACGCGTCATGGGGGAGCGGAGGGCTCCAGAACTGGCCAAGAAGGCACCAAAACAAACGCTCCCCAGACGGTCCCAGAAGGCCACGAGTCGCCGAAATATCGCTCCTTGACGCCCACGATGGCCTCCAGACGGCCTCCGAAGGTGCCAAGACGCCCCACAAGGCCCTCAAGATGCCTCCAAAAGGGCCCCAAGAAACAAAAATCGTCCCATTCCCTTGGCAAATATGTGTTTTTTTTTTGCTTATATATATATATATATATAAATATATATATATATATATATATATATATGTAGATATATCGCATACTCGCCTGTTCGCCTTTCACAGCGTCCAAGACGGGCAAAGAAACCTTCAATATCGCCCCTAGACGGCCGAAGGGGCCCCCAAGAGGGGTCGACGAGTCCAAAAACAGCCCACGAAGCCCCCAAGACAGCACAAGAGGGCCCCCAGACGGCTCCAAGAGGGAGTCCCGAGGGCACCTGTTCGAGCTTTCGGCCCCAAGACGCCCCCAGCCTGCCCCACCCCAATAACACCCCAAGAGGCCCTGAGAGAACCCCAAGAGAACCTGAAAGGCCTCCAAGAAGCCCCCAGGAAGCCCCCAAGAGGTCCCAAAACTTGACCCAAGATGCCTCGAGGCGGCCCGATTCGGCCTGCAGACAGGCCAAGATGCCACCAAAAGGCCACAAAAGAGCACCAAGAGGTACGATAACAGCAACGAAGCAACAGGAACGATGTCGAGCGCCGTGTCATGATTCGGACAAGCCTCGTGAAATGCAGTCCTGGAGGCGCAATAGTTTATATAGGGGTCGGCGGAT